ATCTATATCTTTTATGTTTATCTATAAAGATTAACATTTTATAAACTACAAAAGTCACAGTTTTAGCCAATTTGATACCACTTTTTCTATACGACTAGAGATTATTTAAAGAGATTATTTAAAAATGATTGCTGAACTTATTAAATAAAAATGATTCTATAAGTCTGATAAGGTAATAATATTAAGAATTAAATATACAATTAAAGATACATAAAAAATAGATTTAGCGCAAAGATTTTTTTTTTTGGTTATTATTTGATTAAAACTCTCTTCAGATATCCATAATCCATATCTTATATAAATCTACATAGATAGAATACTAATATAGATATATAATACTAATGTCAATAACCGGTAATTAAGTTTTTAATCGGTGTAAAAATAAGATTATATTATAATGACTTCCGTATGCGAGGTATGTAATTTTAAGGAAAGCTAGAAAGGAAGACATGCGTTTATATTCAGTGGTAAGCGACGAGTGAGCGAATAAGATAACGAGACTCATCGTCTCATTAACAATCGTACTTGTTTTGAAAGAAAATCTTCATCCCAGTTTTCTCATTCTATATCTTTTGCTACGTCAGGAATATCTCCAAAAGAGATAACTGAATCCCTTTTGTATACGTCAGATGACACTTGTAATTTTAGTTAGTCGTCGGCAATTAGTGTAATTTTAGTATTTAAAAGACACATTATTTTTTCGCAGCACGTTCCGTCTTATTGCATGTTCCTCGTTGCTGGAAATGCGGCTATTGTGTACGAGCACAGTTACCCTAATCGATAAGCTGGGTTATTAGTGATATTAGCACACCTCTCCTTTTTTCCCTTGCAGAAGGGCCACCAATCTTTCCCTTTTTTCTGTGGTAGTCCTAAAATTTATGATAATTTCCAGTTACGTGGTACCCTTTCATTCTCGTTTTCAGTAGGCCACGATACGGCTACATAATTTCTCGTTGTGTCGCTAATGCGTAATAATTTTTCGACTTTACTGGCAGGCGAACAATATTGTAACTCTGAGAGAAATTGGCGTTTCGCAATATGTATTTATAATTTTAAATAAATTTTAAATCGATAAATATGTAGAAGCTTATTTTAGATATAAATGACAGAATATTTGTGTGTGTGTGTGTGTGTATCTTTTTAAAAAAATACAAATATATATTTTAAATGATTATATATGAAGTATAACATAATATTATTATTAAAAAATCATATAAAAAATTGAAAACGTTACAAAAGAAATTCTTTGAATACTGAAAAAACATATTAAATTTGTAAAGGAATAAATAAATACGCAAAAAGTAAATTATATACAAGAGTCATTATTCATTTTAATAGAATAAAAGCAAATAATTCAACCATCCCAATCGCATTTAAGAATGATATCATGTTCTTTAACTATTCATATATCACATATACGAGAATACACCTACATATACCTACATATACCCGGAGGGTGAGGATAAGCCAGATAGGCAGGGTGTACCAAATAGGCAGGTACGTACGTACTTATCTGAACCATGCACTTTTCAGTGTGTGACAAGAGGATATGATTTATTGCCTACAAGCTTGCTACAATGACTGCGGTACGTGTTAAACTGACCACGTTCATCATTAAAATTAATGGATATTGGATACTGCCCACGGTAAGCGGAAGGAGAGGTAGAAATGACCGAAAGCGTCGGAAAGCTCGGTGGCCGAGGAAGATGTTGTTAATATCGCAGATCGATATTTTGCAGCATTTTGCGATAAGAGTCGCCAGGAAAATAACATGAAATATTGATTTCGTTTATATTTGTACTTTTGAACCATATAATATTAATCGTACGAAAGAGTTTTCGATATAATATTAAAATTTTTGTAACTTATGTACGGGATTTTCTATTACGTGAAAAATTCGCGCTTGGAAACTTCATTAGAAATTTATGTAATCAGCGCGATGCTCCTCAGAGTGACAATGTCGACAATGCGTGTAGTGAAAGCAGTTATACGTATTACGTATTTTCATGTGTTCTGTAATTGCTTCTGGTGTCTATTGTGCGGATGAGTGTTAAGTCTGCGGCACGGCACCATTAAAATTAATGGGGATTGGGATAGCGGAGATAGTCAGGCGTGATACTAAACGCGAAGTGAAATGATGCATCATTCACAAAGAAACAATGCGCACAATTCAGTGATCGCATTATAATAATTTGTACATTACAATGCATGCATTATTATTAAAGCGATCAATATAACATTCCGATTAAAGTGCTCGAGTTAATGGACGACAGGTATTCAAAATATTCCAATACTAAAAATCAATCATTTTTATCGACATATGTCTCATTGCGTTATCATTGCGTTATTAAATCAATCATGTATGATATTTATACATTTAGTGCTGCATGATTAAAGTAGCTGCATGATTATATTTAGAATCTCTACTTTTTGCAATATATTCCGATCGCATCGTATTAACGGCTAAATATATATTGGTCGAGTGTTTGGTACTCGTTTTTGCGATTAACTATCTTATGGAAATAAATCGTATTACAGTATAATCGACCCAGTTTACAAAAACAAGTTAAAAATAAGATTAGGCCGCGGCGTTACTATCTGCCAATTTCCCTGTTTACACGCCCTGCTTACGACACCCTTATCGCAGTGCACGTGACTCAGAATCGCATTACCCAGCAGCGGCAAAATAACCGTATAAAAATTTCCGTCTTCCTTTTTCCAGGGTCGACGCGACGAGAGGAAAATGCGCTCGGCGAACGAACGGGCAAGACCGCGAATACGCTGGGCGATCGTCTAAACCGCTTCAATCGTCGTCTATCATCGACCTATCCTTGCGGCCGCGATAGATCGCGTTATCGTAATGACATTTCGTGGCCAGCTTTCGCGGCTGCTGATGGCGGGAATATGAGGGTCGCGCGGTGACGAGACAAGAAGGTAGGCTAAGCAAATCGATCTGTCGGCGCACGTAACGCACAGCTAAGTAGCACGTTAAAACCCCGCGAGCGTCTCGGCTATGCTTTCAGCATATTTGCATAGGATTCTGCTCGGTGGCGCGTACACGCGGCAGCCACCCATGGTACGCGAGCACCTGCCGAACGCTTACGTAGTTACGCAAAATGACAGCGCTACCATTACGCATACCCGGGATAGCCGAGATACTTAACAATCTGGTATTCCGATTACGATAGTACGCCTATGCACGTAGGAGCGCATCTTCGAATGCGCTCGCAGCGGATCGCAGCATGTAGGACAGGCTTGGCGATCCCTGAAGCGACGAGGATCAGACCTCTCCGTTCATCGGCTTATGACAAGCATGTGACATGAATGCTAATAGCCAACCTGATGCCACAACCGAACAGAAATTTATCAGCATCGTGAATTTTGTATAATTTTATACAATATAACGGAAAGGACGGTTTGATATCTAAAAATTTAGTTATAGATACAGATCTGAAAATAATTGTGTGGGCTATCCAAAATTATTACCAAAATTATATAGGACTCAAGATGGTTGTTAGAGTGTCGAAACTTTTTGCAACATTGCTCATCATACTTGAACATTCTACACAAGGGGTAAACCGCTGAGGGCATTGCGGTATATGAATTTGGGGCATTACTGGGCATTACTGGACATTATTTAAGAGAATTGTGTATTATAATAAGCGGTATAAGGTTATGCATTATTAGTGCATTAATGGGCATTACTGGAACATTTAATGGGCATTACTAAGGCATTAGGGGATTAGTGGGGATTAGTGGGCATTACTAGGGCAATAATGGCTATAAAATTTAGGCATTAGTAGGCATTGACGTACACAATTTTGGTCAGTGGTTTATCCCTTGGTTCTACATAATATTATAATTTTGATAGTCCAACAAAATGATTTTCAGCTTTATATTTAGTTGAATTTCTAGATGCTTCAGCAAAATCGTTCTTTGCGTATATATACTCTCTGCGGTAAAATTAAAGTAATATTGCGCAACGTTATTATGAGTTCTTTTTATCTCGATAAAAATATCGCATTATGTCACTGCGTTCAACGTAAGATTAAAACTTACTATTATTATCAAAGATCATCGACGACAAATCGAACAAAGTAACTTTATAAATGGAATGGATTTATATTCTTTGACTTGTAGCTTGTTCTCAGTTTGAGAAACAATTCATAAAGTAATATCGTTCGAGCAAAAGTGTTTGATCAAAGACATAAAAAGTTTCATTAAAACTTCTTTGATCGCTGGAACAAGTAAAAAGAAGTACGCTGCCAATTATGTACTCCAGTTACGCAATGACCTACTGATTATGAAGAATAAAACGTTGTTATTACGCAACGGAAGTAATTAAATAAAATACGAAAATATTTCTTTTATTACAAACTATGCATTAATTTTTTTATTTTAATTACGCTTAAAACAACCGCTGTTGTATCGATATCAGTAACAAATATTATTTATTTTATGTCATACGGCTAGAAAGATATGTAAATACCTTTGCGTCATGTAAAGATGAGTATATATGTATAAATTAGAAAGAGGGTTGGAGAGAGTAGCTGTGTAAAATCGCCTACATCGTAGCTTCACATAATGTAGAAAGCATCCGTATATACATATCCAACGAGAGTTGGATTTTAAAGTACGAAAAGTTCCCAAGTTTTCTTGAATTTTCATTACGTACGTTCCGGGAACACGGCGGAAAGGTCTCTAGAGGGGAGCACGATAACACCAGAAGCACAAGCGCCTCAGGTTCTATCTCTGCGGCGCGTAATTCGAGACCTAGCCTGCCGTTCGATTATAATTTCATTTGCCGGGAGCTCGTACGATTAATGCGATGGTGCCGACCTATTCCCTCTAATTAAATCCTGTATACCAACCGAAAGATACCACGAAGGGAGATTCTAGAAGAGAATTGGTCGTAATCAACGACCGGTCATCGGACTCAATCGAACGTATCTATACGTAAAGATGCGATCGCAAGGAATCAAATGGAGACCTCCACTCACCTCAGTTCGATGCCTTGGCTGCGCTTGTCATTTATGCTAACGATCACGTCGCGTGGCTGTATCTTCTTATCACCGCTGCACTTCGGGGTAGTCACTTTGCCGCGCGAGTTTACGCCAGGCACAAACGATGACTACGTACGTCCGCACACGTACGCCTCGCTATGCAATGACGTAGTGACATCCAGCGTTTCGCGATGACGAGATCAACGTCTTTCTCCGTCTCCCACCCTGCCGATCTACTCACGCAGGTTCAATTCGCGGCGACGTGAGAGTTCCGCTCGGAGCATCGACGTACATACATACGAACGAGCCTGGGGGAGGGAGAAGGGGGGAGGGGGAGAGTTAAGACAGTCACGTATCGTTGCAAGCGCCTTCGTCGTCGCACACTGCTGCACTGTCACAGTGCCCGCGCCGCTTCTCTACCCTGTCGATTTAGCGAATCCCCCGAGCCAGCGATCCTAATCTCCCAATTCCTCGCGAGCGCGCACACCGGCGTGACTATCGCGATAAAGTCCGAAACGCGAGATTTACGAACTCTTGAAACGAAATTCACGTAAATTCCGAAACGACGCGACGGTCCGAAATATCACGAATTGACATGAGCGAATGTCAGTCTTGTCTTTGTTACTCGAAGATAAGCATCGAGTCGAGACGTGGATAGTTTCGAATTGGATAGTTAAGATTGGACGTTTTATCGTATCGCATTCGTAGCTTTAGCGTACTCGATCAGCGATCAGCTCGACTCTATGATGTTCGTTTTGCACATTCACAGGGCGCGTGACATCACTCGAGCTATGCGAAGGCGTAGGATGGAAGTATTGGCGTTCCAGCTGATTCACGCCGATAGAAAGAGAAAGGGGTGCGTAGGACAGAGCTTACGAGAGCGCGAGCCACGACAACGTGTGTGTTTACCCGCGCGACGACGTAAACACTCCGCACGAAAGCACTCGACTGCTCGGCAGGGGTGGCCGAGCGGCACAGTTCGGTTGCTCGCGCAATAGCTTGGTAACGCGGCGCAACAGTGCGCAAGTTGTGCTTTTGTGCGGCGAATGCGGTACGGCCAGCACCTATGACCTCTCTCTTTCTTCCTATCTCCCTCGCCCTCCCTCTTTCCTTATCTGTCTGCACTTTTTCGTGTTTTTTTTTTAATCCTTCTGCCTTCCTTTTTCGCTCCGCTCTATAGCCACAATTTTCACCCCTTTTCGCTCTCGCTGCGCCTCTCTTCCTTCCCTTCTCTACTCTCTATTTTTTTTTCTTTTTTATACTCCGCCGATACAATCCTCTTACATCCTTCCTTCTCGTCTCACTAACTGACCGACTGACTGACTGTCGTCCGTCCGTCTACCTGCGCCGCGGCAGAGCGGCCACGGTGAATCGCGAAAAGTAACTGGCGAGCCGGCCGACCCCGATTGGCTCGAGTCTGCGCCCTAGCGACAACTCGGGTACACCGGATATAAAATATAGACGCCTAGTGTGTACGTATACCTACGCGCCGCTCTGCGCGGTACGCGGCAACACGGGGGTTGAAAAGGAGGAAACTCTCCTGCCCTCCCCCACCAGGTCTCTCGTCCTCCCGTTACCTGCTCTCCTCTTATTCTATTTTCACTCACTGTACCGGTAGTCTTTCTCTCTCCTTCCACCCCATGTTCATCCGCGCTACCCGCTTCATATTCTCTCTTCCTCCCTTCGTCAGTCTCCCTTTCTGTCTCTGCGCTCTCTCATATCGTTTCTACACCTCTCTCACTTCACCTTGTCCTTTCTCTCTGTCTTCCTCTCTAGTTCCTTCATTCGTGACTATGCATCTCGTATCGCTTACCGCAGCAGCGCCGATACGCTGTTGCTGCTACGTTGTAGCTGCTGATGAAACCTCAAGGTGCACGCGTATCTGCGTGTAAAAGAAAAGGACGCCCCGTTTTGTGGAACATAAAGGAGAATATTTGTCTTAATCCAAGGTACATATTAAATGGGTACTGAAATTGCGTTGTCTTGCGAGAGTAACAACGTTAAGACGCTGACTTGTCAGGCGCCACATTGTCGTAAAAGATAAATATATCAAACAATTTTTCTAGATATTATGTATATATTTTCGTTCATTGCAGATTGCATATATTTATCAAACTACGTACTATAATGTGCACGAATGCAATGAAACTGATTAAATTCGGCGAATGCTTCCTGGTTACGTATTTTAAGTCTGAAATCTGCATCGCTTGTTTAGAAACTAATTGCACGCTTGTTTCTTCACGGGGAATTACCTCGCGCTTAAACGGTATATCGATTTAGTAGCGCCGCATACTTATATAACGACAATGTATAATATATGTATATACATAATGTGTATATAAATAAAAGTATATATGAGTAATATATATGTACTGCATTCCTTTTTAATTGACCATGAATATATATAAGATCATAAACGCTTCTTTGAGAAGCAATTGATTTCGTTGAAAACGAAAAACATTGTTGCAGTATATGATTGCGTTTATAATGTATAGTTACAACTTAAAATACCGTTACTGTAATAATACTGAGAATTTTTACGTAATTTCGCGATTAAGGCCACCAGTTACAGTGTTATATCATTCTTGCAATGTTTCCAAGAAAAGAGTAACGATTTCAGAGCAACTAGATAAAACGCAGCCAGCGAGATGTGGCGGTAATCCACATTCTGTATGTCAAGCGAATTATAACAGTATTGTTTACTATGCTAATGACATTTGTTATTTGTTACTACGTAATTAATTAAAAACACCGCTTGGGGTGTTTGAATCAAAGCAAGTAGATTCTACATATATCTTCCTGTTATCTGCATAATTATGTTAATATTCCGTTATCGTTGTTTTGATAAACATCGAAATATTTTTTTCAGCTCTCTTATATTAACTGCCAAATTATTGATTTTCAATACTATATATATATATCTGAATTAAGTTACATAATAATATTGTTACTTTATTTGTGTGTAATTAAATCCATATTCTATCGACAGTTATTTAATTAAACTCAATTGTAGATTACTGAAATATATCGATTTCCATTACGTTTGACATTTTTGACCAGACATAAGATGACAAAACTTTATCTTATATTATTTTCATATAATTAAATTTACGACTAACAGTCTTACATGTAGATAAGCTCTACTCCAATGTCTTCTGATTAAGAGGATTTCGAGGCATCTTCGGTGATACAAAGTTATATTGTTATTCATAACAGGAGGAGAGGTAGTTTCACGAAGCCTGTAGCAAAGCCCATTATCTTAACATGACTATGAGTCTTAAAATTGGACGCATCTCTTGGTAGTCTAATTACTCATTAGTTGGACCAACCGGTGATTCAAACATTATTCTAACACAACCGAAAACTTGGCAGCGGCTATTATAGCCGTTCATAGATCCATTTTCACGGCTGCTTTAACCAGACGCGGTAACAGGTTTCAGGTCCCGATTTCGTCTGAATTATACGCTATATTAAATTACTCGGCTTGCATCACCATTACAGTTTGTCGCTCGACAAAGTAGATGTGGGGAAACTATTTCTGTTGGATCATTACCGTTAGTTAATGGGCACGAAACCACGCAGAATTCATATGTTAGCGAATTGTGGAATAACTAAATGCTCCCCAATGTCATACTTAATATATAATACGTCGCATACTCGTATCTTATACATGTTCAACAGGCTCTTACATTAATTGACTGCCACATCAAATTTTTTTAAATATTTCTTTTTGTCTTTATAAACTTTTTTCAAGTCACACTTAAGATATTTAAAATATTAATTAAAATGTGTTATATAATGTTATAATCATACGCTGTTCTTATTGTAGCTGCAGAATGCGAGGATGGTATTAAACCCGAAATATGATATCAGCTCATTATACGTTACGTGTTAACATTACATAGACGTACAGCTCATGCTTTTTCGTGAGTTTGCTTGCAGCAGAGCAAAAAGCATAATCTTGCACAGATGCGAGTCTTCTCATTCGATTCCCCGAAGGCAGAAGTGCTGTCATGCATGAATAAATAATTGTAATTCTTCATTCAATCATCTGTGTCCTACGCGTGATATAACTATTAAATATAATGCTTATATTTGTACGTAAAGTAGTAAGTAATTATGTAACAAACAAGAATATTCTCGCGTTCTAAAATTTTATTTTAAACACAATGAAAAGCATATGCAATAGAAATAGAAAATGAGATATCAACTTATTAGAAATCGTGTCTACTAGAACGCAGAGCTTCTGAGAAATTGAAATTTGTTACTCCTTGTTCTTATTGCCTGTGCTTTTCATTGTGTTTAAAATAAAACACAATGAATTTTGATAGGTTGAAATCTGTTATAATATATCCCCTATTCCTATTGCCTGTGCTTTTCATTATGTTTAAGGCTTCAGAAACACCGCCGCACTTATAAGCAACTCGTACTACTGTGAGAAACAGGTCCTCAACTGCGAATATCTACCACAGTGGTAACAGAAGATAGCGCTCTAACCAACGAGATGCGGCATATATCTTCCGCTAATTAGCATTCATCTAGCCGCGGCTGATATGGCGAGCCCTGCGTAATACGAATACGTTAATTCCGCCATTGCTATCCTGTTAGCTTTGCGCCTTTGCTGTTTCGCCGAAGCGTATTCTGCGATCGCACAATGTAAACGGAGCGCTGGCGTCATTCCGATGCATCGAGCCTCGTACGTGCGCGTAGCAGCCTCCGTGCGTAACAGGAACAGACGTGTTCGTCGTGATAACCTGCCTCTAGGACGTATGGAATTACTCGATAAGCTCACGTTCCGCCAGGCCGGAGCCAATTCTAGGTTGCACGGAAGAAAACATCCCTACGCTGTCAGCGTTTCCCGAGAGTCGAGAGTAAACAACATGACTAATGATAAGGCTGATGTCCTGGTGCGACTGTAGGATTAAGCCGATAAATGTTTCTACAAGAGCACGCGACGGCGTTCTCTTAACTTTCCCATATTAATAACATGTCTAATGGTTTATTATTGCTAATAGTAATAATAAACTATAATAATACTACTAATAACAATACTATTATCAATGAACTTATAATGTCATAGAGATTTTAATGTAAAACTTTTATATTGCATGTATAATTCCATCCATTATTATTTCTTATTACTTTTATTTTATTTCACTATTTATTAATGCAAGATTTTAAATATGCAAAAATATTAATGCGGTATTAAGATTATTTATGATCTCAATTCTCTGTTGAACTATTTATTCGTTATTATAATTTAATATATATCAAATTTATATGTATATCTTTCTGCCATATTAATCGAATTATCTTTTACTCATATCTTAATTTAATAAAAATATGTAAAATTTTTAATATGAGAAAATTATTGTTTTAATTAACATTCGAATTAAAGTTAAAAAGAAAATAATTAATTTTGGCTGACAAAAGATCGCCAACATTATTTTACAATGTAATTATTTTCCTCTGTTTGTAATGTATTCTTTGCAGGTATTTTGTTACAACTGTATGTTCCTGTGCATTAATGTTATTTCTATTTTATTTTAATAATTTGCCTTATTGTTACAGCATCCGAATTATCGACTAAAATTAAATTGTGAAATGTCTCGGATATTTACAACTCAGTTTTTATGAAAGACAGTAAGTAAAGTATTATGTAATTTTTTTCAGAGAATTGTTAAGACGGCGAATACTTGTTATTATAATATATAATATCTTTACAAATATATAAAATACAAAACATAAAAGTCTAGATTAAATACTTTTATAAGTAAAATACTTTTATATATAAAAACGCAAAATTGGATAGTATATATTATAAAATAATTTAGGTATTTTATATATATAAACTTTCAATGAAAGTATCGATGTACATTTTCCACTTCAGATCATAGGAATTTCATAAGAATTTTCATAAGCAAAACATTACACGTGTACAAAGTAATAATATTAAACGTAAATATTCGTTTACTACAGAAAATGGTTAATTGTATCATTGCATAAAATATTTAACATAATCTTTTTATTAAGCCGCAAACATGTCGAAAGGCGAATTTTATAATAAATTGAATCAGCAAACATGTTGATACGATAATTAATCAAAGAGTATGCTTTGTAATGTTCAGTACGGTATTCAATAATATTCTCTGTTGAATCTGCTATCTTCGTTAAATTCCGCAGCACGTACTGCAAAGCGACGTGTTTATTATATTCGCGGTATAACCTATCTGCCTTCAGATTATCTGTACGTATAATAGAAAGAACTCATAATATTTGAATGAACATCTGATCTGACATTTCCTTAATATTTCAATTTAATTTGCGATGCGGTAGAGCGAATTTTAAGAGCTTAGATAACAAAGTTTTGCGATGTAAAGTTCGATACGAAGTAGTGGTTTATGTTTAATTATGCAAGCAAAAAAAAGCAATACGAAAGTATGACTAGGAAGAATAGCAACCAATAAGGAGAAAGAAATAGGCCGTGTTTCTCTCGCCGTAGTTAAGAAATATGATTGTGATTGCGTCTGGCACAATAACATCCCTTAGACAACTCGTGCATGGCATAGAATTGGACTAGTCACTTGTTATGCATGATATATTGCGGCATGCTTTCTACGTGTCTTCGTTATATCCTTGTTCATATCTTCTCATCGTGCGATGGCGCGCTCTATTATGCGAATATATATATATGTGTATATATATATATATATATAATATATTAAAACAACATAGTTCTTATCTCTTAAGATATAGCTGGCATATAAATATTAAAGATACTCAATTTAATATGTAAACCCGTAGTAAAAATGCTTCGTCGTCATCAGTGCATAACTTAAGATATACGATGTTCAAATTATTACCTCCCCGTTTGAATGGTTAACGAGTAGAAATAGCTCCGCACGTAGCCGCGTTTAACTCGGATAACTTCTACTGAAATGTATATTGCGGTCAAACGACATTAGTTATGCCGCATGAGTAAATCAAGGCAAACAAGTACAAGCCCATTCTACAATTTGC